TTTTTATATATTACTGTAATAATAAATATAACTTTGAAAAAAATATTATTTTAACTTAACAATTATTTTTAAAAAAATCATTACTCTAATCAATTTTTTGATATAATTATTATCATTATATTATTGTATGATTAAATATGATATCATATAAATTAGTTATAATTTAAAATTTTATCAAATCCAATATTAAATTGATTTTATAATTGTTGAAATATATCAATAATAATTAAAGAATTTATTTAAAATTTAAAAATGAATTGTATTTATGTTAAAAAACTAAATTTTTAGAATATTAATTTATATTTTTTTATTATATATTTTAATAATAATATTTTTTATTATATAAATTTATAATTTTTATCGATATATTTTCGTGTGAGATACATGGCCCCAAAAAAGATTGAGACGACCCTGTTGTATACTATACTTTTTTTTTCTAAATACTCGAACTATCCTTTATAATATTTTTCTACGATTTTGTGGTAATGTATCTTTTAGAAATCGGTACGTTTTGCTATTTGATCTTATTTTTTCTCTAATATTTTCTCTATTTTCTCTATTTTTTACGGTTTATCTAATCTATTCAAATACTTTTGTGGTTGATTTTTTTTTTGTGATATTCTGGTCATTTTTTTATGCACATAAGGTGTTTGATGAAATGTATGTAACAGAAAACTGTAGCAGATGACCTGTCGTCTGTGAAAAATGACCTGTGTTCTGCGGTAAACGACCTACAGTCTGCGGCAGATGACCTACAGTCTGGCAGATGACACATGATGTAGTTGCAGGTCGCAGGTCGAATGACCTGCGATCTGCGACCTGCGACCAGACAACTACGACCAGATATTTGATCTTACTTTTTCTCCAATATTTTCTCTATTTCCTCTATTTCTTACAGTTTATCTAATCTGTTCAAATATTCTTCTGGTTGATTCCTTTTGCTGTGGTATTCTGATCATTTTTTTATGCACATAAAGTGTTTGATAAAATGTCTGTAACAGAAAACTGTAGCAGATAACCTGTCGTCTGTGAAAAATGATATGCGTTCTCAGTAAATGACCTACAGTCTATGACAAATGATCTACGGTCTGGTAGATGACATATGATTTGGTCGCAGGCCACAGGTCACAGGTCACCAGATAACTACGACCGTGATTTCACTATGACCGTATAACTGTGACCAGATAACTGCGACCGTAATTTCACTATGACCATATAACTACGACTGTGATTTCACTACGACCAGATAACTACGACCGTGATTTAACTACGACTAGATAATTACGACTGTGATTTCACTACGACCTGATAACTATGACCGTGATTTCACTACGACCAAATAATTATGACCGTGATTTCAATACGACCAAATAACTTAGACCGTGATTATACTACGAACATAATGCAAATAAGACTAGATAATTAACGATAATTACGACTGTGATTACAATATGAACATAATGCGATCAGATAATTAACGATAACTACGACCATGTCCATTTACCTATTCTCTCGATCCTCTTGCTGGTTGAACTAAATCTTCTCGTCTATATTTCTCTGCGATTACTGATAATCTGTCTTTTAGAAATCATTGCGTTTTGAGATTTGTCAGTCTGTTTTCTCTAATATTTTCTCTATTTTCTCTATTTCTTATAGTTTATTTCATCTAATCAAATATTCTTCTGTCTGATTTTTTTTTTCTGTAGTATTCATATGATCATTTTATTTTCTGCACATAAGGTGTTTGATGAAATTCTTGAAACAAAAAACGATGGCAGGTTCCAGTATGTGACCTGCGGTTTACGACAGGTCACATGCGACATACGACAGGTGACCTGCGATATGCGGCAGGTCACTTGTGACATGCAGCAGGTGACCTGCTAACTTGGTGATGTGATGACCTGGTGACTTGATAACCTACTAATCTGCAAGTGTTTTTTCATGAAACTCATGCAACTGTTTTCTATAATTATATAAGAAAACAAAATCCATATAAGTGTTTTTTCATGTATGCAGAGGAAAACAAAATTAATGCAAGCGTTTTTTTAAATGCAGAAAATCCGAAGGTTGTAATAATATAGAAGGGTATGATGGTCATTTTAACGTAAAAAATATAGAATACAAAGATTACAATAATAGACGTATAGAATGCAAAGGCGTTTTATTGTATATTAATGCAAATTTTCCCAATAATAAAAACAATATATGTTTATGCCACATGTCACATTCATATTTTTTAAATTTAAAAAAAATGCAAATTAAGTTGATGAAAAACATTTTGAACTTTTTGAATTCTGGTGGTTGGTCATGGTTAGAGAATTAAAAACAGAACCTTCTCCTACTTTCATGTATATATATAAATATTCTCTTTGAGTTTCTTTCACTCGAAATTTTTTATTTTGAAAAAAAATAATATTCAATATATTTCAATTTGATTTGATTAATATTAAATTATCTAGTTTTTAAAAGACATATCTAATCCATTTTTAAATTAAATTAAATTTGAATGTTATGATATTATTTAGTTTTTTTTTTCATTTCGTTTTACATGCCAAACATATCTAGCCCTCATTTATCATCATCTGAATTACCACAAGTGCACACTTTTTCCATGACTTCAATTGTGAGAAATTCGGGAAACGCGAGGAAAAAAAATAAAAGAAAACCCTTTTATAAACATTTGATATTATTTTTTTCGTGAAAAATATTTTATATAGTTATGGACAATAGCCGAATTAATTGAATTTCTATATCCTTCTATACACATCCCTCGTGTAATTTTCATACTCTCGAACTTCTCCATCTTCCATCTTCTAGGATACGTAGTTGAACCAAATATTGATTAACTTATTCATTATAAAAAAATATTTAATTATATTAATTTAGCAAAAAAATATTTAATTAAATTAAATCTAAATAGCTCAAACAAGCTCATTTTTCCAAGACGACTCAATTAAAATCTAAACTAAAAGGGTTCCAAAACCCAATTTCATTTTATTTTGTTGATCGTTTTTCATTTATCTGATCATTTTTATTTGATAGAAAATTTGGAAAGTCTTGAATTCTGCAACTTTATTGCATTACAAGATGGAAACGACTACCTCGAATAAAAGAAATTAAATTATGTTTATTTAATATTTGCAAGGGAAGAAATTACCAAATTTATTGTAAAAAAAAATTAAAATTAATCCAAAGTTGTGGCTCCCTATTTAAAGAGCAAAACTTAATAAGGAAATAGGCATCCACATAAAATAAAAAATAAAAGAATAATGCTTTATTCCACTGTCCCACCGCCGTGCATGGCGGCTCCGGCGACACTCCTCCTCCGTCAACCTCCACTCCGTCCATTATTCCGGCCACCTCCAACGCTTCTTCCGCATCTCCGGAGTGAAAAGCTTCTTGCTTTTAATGATCTTAGAGGAGGCAAAGGGTACATTTTTTTCACTTCACCATATTCTTTCTTTTCACTTTATTATTATTATTATTATTATTATTATTATTATTAAGGGTGCATTCGAATTTTGTATTTTCAGAGATATTTGGCCAAATGATTCAAATGCAAATGACAAAATGAGTGAATTCTATGAGATTGAATTCAAAGTTCGCGACTACGAAATCGATCAGTATGGTGTTGTGAACAACTCCGTTTATGCCAATTACTGCCAATTCGGTTAGTTTTCTTCTGTCATTTTTTTTCGTTTTTGTTTTTATAATTATTTACCCCCATATGAATATAAAAAATAAAATATGTATATCATCAAATAATTTTTTTCGTTTTTTTTCTCAATTAATAATATAATGACTTTGTTTATTTGAAGGTCTACACGAATTTCTAGGGAGTATTGGTATCGACGCCGACGAAATGACCCGAAACGGTGTTCTCTTCGCGTTTACGGAGTTGGCATTTAAATTCCTATCTCCTTTACGCGTATGTATTTTTTTTTAAAGTTAAATATATATATTAGGGGTGGCCATTTCGGGTTTCGATTCGGTTTTCGGTTCAGTTATTTCAGGTTCGGTTATTTCGATTATAAAAAAATTATATCCAAACGGTTATATAGATTTAATCGGTTCGGTTCAGATCGGTTTCGGTTCGGTTCGGTTCGGTTTTTGCATAATAAAATTATAACCAAACGGTTATATTTTCCGGTTTATTCGGTTTGGTTTTAGATCGGTTCGGTTCGGTTATGATATATTTTGAAAAACAAATTATTAATCCTACATAAACTTCAAAATATCTATTCAAATAAATGTACAAAATGATTAATCCTGTAATAAAATTATAAAAAAATCTAAAAACTTCAATAAATAGGATAAAAATTTAAAACATTACATTTTATGGTTTATTGGTTAAAAGTGAAGTATGAAAAAATAATACTAATAATAATGAGGGTAAAAATTAAAATATTAAAAAAACTCAATAACTGTTCGGTTAACCGCGGTTATTCGGTTATTAATCGAGCCGAATCGAATCCGAACGGTTGTTCGACTTCCTCAACCGTTCGGTTATCAAGCAAATAATCGAACCGAACCGAATCGCTCTTATTCGGTTCGATTCAGTTCGGTTATTCGGTTAATAACCGAAATGGTCACCCCTAGTATATATATATATAATTATAATTCCTTTTTCTTTTTTCTTAAATATAAAACCAATTAACCGATGAATTTACGTGCGTATAATTATAATTTTTTTTCAAGAGTGGAGACAAATTCGTATTCAAGGTGAAGATCTCTGGATCATCCCCTACACGTCTTCACTTCCAAGAATTCATCTTTAAACTCCCAAATCTTGAGGTTTGATCTCTCCCCTCTCTCTCCCCTCTCTCTCTATCTCTCAAACCCTTTTTTGTTTGATTCTATTAAGATTATGCCACAAATGTTTCCGTTAGATTTTCATTAAAGAATTCAGGGACGTCTCAATCTTTTTCGGGGACTTGTATCTCATACGAAAATATATCGATAAAAATTATAAATTTCTATAATAAAAAAATATTATTATTAAAATATATAATAAAAATTATTAATGATTTTAAAAATCGTTAATTTTTATAATAAAAATTATTTAAATAAAATCAATAGATTTTGTAACGTTTTTCTATATTAATGATACAAAAATAATAATTTAAAAAAAAAATCTAAAAATTTAGATTTTTAACATAAATACAATTCATTTTTAAATTTTAAATAAATTCTTTAATTATCATTCATATATTTCAACAATTATAAAATCAATTTAATATTGCATTTGATAAAAAAATTAAATTATAACTAATTTATATGATATCATATTTAATCATACAATAATATAATGATAATAATTATATCAAAAAATTGATTAGAGTAATGATTTTTTTAAAAATAATTGTTAAGTTAAAATAATATTTTTTTCAAAGTTATATTTATTATTACAATAATATATAATTAATGATAATAAATAGTTTTAAAAATGGGGCCCCCAAATTTATGGGGTCCTGTTCTAATGCACCTTTTGTACTTGTTATTAGACAGCCCCGAAAGAATTCACATGTATATAAACGGCATTGTAGATCAATTAATGAAAGCTTGTTCATTCTAAAATTCCACACCAATTTCATCAATTTTTTGTTGAAATTGCGCTTCTTTGATATTTCTTTGGATCTACTCATTGTTCTCGTCTGATTTCTCTTTTTTTTTTTTGGATTCTTTTATCGACGACGTACGCATGCATGCATGCATGCAGCCAGTTCTTGAGGCAAAAGCGACTCTTGTCTTGCTCGACAAGAACTTCTGTCCTACATGTATCCCGTCCGAGATACGCTCTAAATTGATTCCCTTACTAAAGCGTGACGAATCCTATCGAGGTTAGTTCACTCGAGAGACCTATGTTAAGGAAACTGATACGTTCATGCGTGCTAATGGTCATCGCCCGTTTATCCATGTAGCTGTTCATGTTGCATAGAAGTAAAAGCAAACGAGACAGGTAACGTCTGACGCGTAATAATCTTGTCCGAAGAAGATCACGATCTGCAGAAGTTTCAGATTCGAGCGTCCTTAGATTCGAGTTTCAATAACGTCACATGTACTTCTTTTCACTTTTCCAACAATGTATGCTTGTAAATTTCAACTCGTTTGAATATAAATCATAAGAATAATAATAAGAATGATTGCCCGTTAATTTGACTGACCCCTATTGTACGGATATGGAATATACATATATCATCCATTATGCATATATATAAATTAACGCCTGGAAATTTGATTCATAAATTCTGGTAGACACAGGCATATATATATATATATATATATATATATATATTAATGATGTGTATGTACAGAACCTGCATGGTCATTCTGAATCTGTATACGTGTGTGCGAGATTTTGTCTTGGAGGATTCAGAAAGGGCTAACGTATAAGTATACTCTCATTCACAGAATGAACAAAGACAAAAAAAAGGTAGAACCGGAAAAAAAAAAATCAAACTTTTTACCAGACCTGTAACTAGAAGGTGATCAAATCTGGGATTGTATGATGGATATAAACCGGTTCATCGATAACTATAAGAGGCATCATCATCATCGTCATCAGATTCTTGTCTTCGTCTTTCCGATGTTGTTCATCTGTCACTTTGGTCTCTTCCCCTCTGTTGTTGTAATAATAATCCTCCTCTTCGAAAACCTCCCACTTGTCTGTGATGATTGTTTGAAGCTCTGGTTGTTTTTCCACCAGTATGATCGCCTTCTCTTCCTCTGGTTCTTCCTTCTTCGGCTTCTCTTCCGCTCCATTGATGATTCTCTCGATCGTTTGAATTTCTTCTTCCGGGATTCGGACGAACTGAGGGATCTTGTGAGCGTTCGAAACTCCGAATTCTTTGCAGAACTCGAAGTAGAGAGCGAGTTCTTCCCCTTGAGACATGGCCTTCTGAACGATCTTCAGTGCAGTTGCAGCCTCTGATTTCGTGGCTCTCTGATGAATCTTGACGAGGATCTTGGAGATGGAGCTGCAGATTCTTCCGTAGATGTCCGTGATCTCGATCACGACGCAATCCATCGCCTCGAGAATCAGCGTCCTCCTCATATTCTCCCCCATGGGTCGGATCTGGAGGAGAATATCGAGGAGAGACTGAAATTTCTGTATCTGTTCGAGGTCTTGGGACAAGGACGACGAATCTTTCTGACCCAGTTTCCTGTTCTCGCGGTGGCGTTGAATCTGTTCAGACAAGAAGAAAGAGTACTGGTCGAGAAACGCGTAGTATGCCCGGACAAAGGCGTTGAAGCCCCAGGTCTTGCTGGGACGGGAATGGCCGTCGGAGAAGGCGGAGAGGTCGAAGGGGAGGCGTCGGATTTCGGAGAGGGAAGGGACTTTGCAGCAGAGGACGCCATGGATGAGCATGAGGGACTTGAGGGCGACGACCCATGAGCGGGAACGGTCGACACGGCAGGAGAGGACGTGGACGAGGGGCCGGAGGTTGGCCGGAGAGGCTCGGATCCACTTGTAGACGCGGTGGGCGTTTTTGTAATCGACGGACGAATCGTCGTGGTTGGTGGCGTGGATCACCGCCGTCTCGAGGTCGGGGTTCTGGACGGTGGAACGGCGCGTGAGGCTGGCCGTGAGGAGGCTTTTCCGGTCCTTCAGAGCCGCCGCAGCTCGCTTCCACAGCTTCATCCTTAGCCCTACCCTCTCTCTCTCTCTCTCCTTTTTCTTGTTTCTCGCCCCTCAAGAATCCTCTCCGTAGCCTCCCTCTCGCTATTTTAGGTCTGTTTAGTTGGGACCCTTTTACCGTTGTAACGGTTTCTCTTATTTTTGCTATTATTTTGGTAAAGAAAATTTGTTTTCTTATATCATTTTTTATAGGATTTCCGACAAGGAAAAGGACAGGAAGTGGAAAGCTGCGCGTCCACGTGGTTAATTCAGTACACGGTTGGTTGTTCGCATATAGATTTGGCCGACACCTCTGGTCTGCATATATGTACATAAATACATACACATACATATATATGTACAATACATAGATAAATCTCCACATAATTTTAATTAATTAATCGACAATCTGGCTTTGGTCGTTAATAACAGAAGCTAAGAATCACTGGTTTAATATTTTTTTGTTAATACAAGTTATTGAAAGCAGAGTTGGATTGCAATTTCAGTCGTGTAATAACATGAACGCCAGAGTGGTATTTCCGTAAATGAAGATCAACATTCTTCTGTTCGGTTTTTGCAACGTTAAAACTGACTAATCTCCATATGGACCGTTCAAATCCAAACAACAAAAATCCAATTCGATGAAACAGATTTAAAAAAAAAATCTAAAGATCATTCAAAAAGGGAGATACAAAGGGCAACAGACATGCCGAGAACCAAGGAGATGAGATGGCATGCGGTGTTCTTGAGGGTTGATTTGCAGGTGTTGTTCATCTCTGCAAGAACACCTGCAACGGCTATGTATATGAATCCTCCTGCCGTAAATCCCTGCAAAATTCCGACAACCCATCACTTCAAAACAACCGAAACACGATAAAGGAACATTCTTTGTTAAGATCAAAAGGGTATGAATCGTTATTACAACCTCGATCAAGGACGATTGTCCCGGTTCGTTTCCCCAGAGCAAAACCTGCATGGGGGCAGCGAAATCACATGTGTTTAGGTGTCGTTTCGATTTTCTGGAGATTTGTGGTTTGGGATTTTGACGGATAAAGATTAAAGACTTGCCATTGCAGTTCCTGCCAGTGCCACGAGTGCGGATAGGAAGTTGAAAAAGAGTGCTTTTGTAACAGTGAAGCCTGATCTCACTAGAATCCCGAAATCACCTATCTGAAAGCATTTCCCAAAGATTATTTCAAGGAAAAGCAGTAAAATCTTTAATTTTTGCTTAAAAGATCATAAAGATTTGGGTGTTCCAGGTGAAAAGTCAGAAACAAACCTCCTGAGGAAGCTCGTGGGCGAGTAAAAATACGGTTCTTGACCAGCCACCAACCGTTCCATAGATGAGAAATGCACTTCCCAAAGCCATTCCATCAGTAAAATTGTGCTGCGGCATCAAAAAGATTGCGTCTTTAGATGAAACATATTCGCCGGCTAAGAGGCATTCTTTCTTTACTAAAATAAGTAAATGACAAGGAGCACGTACTTACAACACCATCAGAGAACAGGTTAAGATAACCAAAGACAAGGTTCGAATGTGTCTGAACCGGTTCAGTTTTCTCCAACTTTCCATCAGAAGTAGCTAATGCACCTGAATCTGAATTACCAGTAGCATCACCAGTGGAAGTCTTCCTCTGCATGCCACAAAAGCCAAGTCATCTGGAAGATACCTAACCGTATGAAAAATCTACTCCCAAAAAAGGATAAATCCAAGCTTTGGCAAAAAAAAATGAAAACTTGAAGAGTAAAAGTTAGCACATAACAGAAACTAGTTGTTGCATGATACCAGAAGGCAGAAGCTAGCACATGAAATTCAACCAGTAAATATTGGCATATAACAAAAGGTAGGTGTTGAAATGTAAGATCATGAAGCCGGAAAAAAGAAAGAAAAAACTGTATGTTATGGGTATGACATGGCTCTATGTACTTGTCATGCGCTTTTGTCTTTCTTCGCTTCTTTTCGTCAATTTAAAATCATAAAACATGATAAAATCATATACCACAGCATCATATAACAAGATTGATATGGAAATGCTGTAACTCACCTTACGAAGAGATCCATCCAAAGAGCCGTCAGAGACTTTCTCTGATGACTTTGTTGTGGTTCCAGAGGAAGATTGTTGAGTTGAATTGTTATGAGTTTTGTCTTTCTTCTTCTTGTCGCTCTTATGGTGATGGTGATGGTGATGGTGGTGGCCCCAAGCATTGGACCCTGAAGAGTTTTCTTCGACATATCGCACCAACTTCTCCACAAGGAGAAAGAGCAAAATCCCACCTGGTCAACCAACAAAGTGCTTATAATTCTATTGTAAGAAACCATGGCATGTCATCTTCAAATAACTTAAAACTGAAACAACAAACCTGTTTTGTCAAGTATCGACTCGATAAATAAACCAGCAAATAAAATCCTATTATCATGTCTCGAAATCAGAGATCATGTTACAGAATTATTGCTTTCCTGACAGACAAGGGCCGTAAGGTCTAGTTATTTTACTCAATGTATTTTCCGAGAGGTTTTTCAACGATGTTTTCTCCTAATTGTCACTTTAAAAGGCAAATTTGACAAACCAATAAAAGTTTTCAGTACTCACCGAGGACAGACAACCCAACAGAAAGATCTTCTAGAGAATGTGAGTGTGAGTGTGAGTGTGAAGAGTGTGAATCTAAATGAGAATGATCATGATGAGCATGGTCCGTGTGGTGATCGTGAGAATGAGAGTGTCCACCACCTGCAAAACCATAATTCATTAATCTATCGAACTTTGAAATATATCCAGAGGTCTTCGAGTTTGGCTCAACATAGAGCCAACGAGTTGAAGCAACAAGAACAAAATCAAGTAGCCTATGAAGTTATGAAAATCTGAAGTACTACAATTTTAGATTTTCAGTAAATAGGCAATTAATCAGAGATACTAAAAATAAGTCAGTGGATAAGATCGGAAATGAGAAAAGAGATCATTGCACAAGGCAGGTACAAAACAGAGATGAGCTCATACTGTACCAAAAGCATGAGGTAACTGGTGAAGAAAAGCATCCCCCAACATAGCCCCTGCCTGGTGACCAAATCAATGGAATTACCCAAAACTTTCCACGTCTAGAGAATTCCGAGTCAATAATGTGAAGAATTCAAGAACAGGGACAGCACAAACATTATGGCTTTCTAAAATAAACATGATAAGCTTTAGAGAGGGTGCAGATATGGCGAAATGAACATACCCCGAACAAAGCCAGAGCATCGACCAACCATTTCGATGGTTTTCCTTGTACTGCAAAAACACATAATGGGTTACAAAGATTTCACCCAATACATGAACTTCTACAGTCATGAACACATGAATGCAAGTGAAAACGAGAGAAATTTATCTGGGACATAAAAACGTCATCAGAGATTCGTTCCATGACAATTCAATGCTCATTTACAGAAGCATTCGAGACATGTATCCGCAAAGAATTCCTTACCAAACATGAAGGGAAGGATAATCAGGCAGATGAGAGAAGCCAAGCTGACCAAAAGAGAACATCCCAATGCATTGAACCATAGAGCTGCAAAAGAACAATACATGCAAAAGATTAACGAGACGAATAGCCATTCCATTCGTACAACTATAGACTATGAAATTGGGAAGAAAACCCCATTTCCCAAGCTAAGTTTCTTCGCATCCTCTCATCAGACACCACTGTATCATATATCAAACCCTAGAATTTCTAAGGATCCGGAGAAACAGTGATAACTCTTAATTTAATCAAAGAATTTGCAAAATCCAACGAGAAATTACCAAAACCCGAAAGACGAGAGCTGGATTCGGGAATGTGACCCACGCAGGGACCGAACCCGCACAATCTCATATCCTCCTCCTCCGCTAGCTCCTCCGGCAACTTCCTCTCCTCCTTCGCCGCCGCAGTCACCCCATGATCATGGTCATCATGGTGATGATGGTGATGGTGATGGTGATGGTCATGACCATGCGAGTGATCACATCCACCGCCGTGATGATGGTGTGCGTGATCCTCACGCGCCGGCGTTGACTGACACGACACGATCGAGACGCACAGATCCAGAGAGAGAGCGAGAAGCAGAGACAGAACCAGGATCCTTCTCCATGAAAACGACATAGTATCAAGAAGAAGGCGGGTGAAGGAAGGAAAGGTCAAGAAGAGCGGCGATTGCAGGTGCCTTCAATGGTGATGAAGCAGACGATGCAGAAGAAGAGGATTATAACTCCGACTATGATTCCGAATGTCACTACATCCATTTGTAATAAAACCTTTGATTTTTTTTCCTTTTTTTTTTTAATTTTGGTATCAATAAATATTTTTATTTGGAAAAAAAAATTATGGAGCTGAAGATTTAGGGAAAGTAAAGTACTATCTCCTTCGCCGATGGAAGAAGACCTCTCCGTGGGCGCGGTCCACTGGAACTTATCAACTATTCCTACAAAACCTTCTAGCTCACTTAGAAGGTTCAGTTGCTCGATTTCCCTAACCACAGACTATGGTAATTTTATGCATAATAGCCATTCGGTTCGGTTAGTTATAAACCGAATTGATTCGAGTTGAATACCAATACATCCGTAATTGAATTAAATCCAATAAATATCGAAAAATTTGAATCGAACTCGAATCAAATATAAGAACCACCCAAAATTCGTAATTTTTTTTAGAAACCGAACCCAAACCGAAAATCTAAATATCCATCCGTCTTTAATTCTTTTAATTAGTAATGCATATAAAATAAAATGATGATAAATATGCACATACGTGTATATCAATATTGGTTTAATAAACGTGAAGGAAAGCTTTCAAATTTTATTTTTTTGCTATTGATGAAACAAAGAGTCATTTTCCTCCCCCCGTTTTTCATTCTATCTCCTAAAACAAAGGCATGATGTCCATTTCCAATTGAATTTCAATCCCCTAACCACAAAAAATTCAATAACAAAGAGGCCAACATAAGAATTAAGAACTATAGATCAAGAAAAGAAAACGTTTTCGATCTCATAGCTACGTAATGGCCTCTGTTAAAATACCGATTTCGGTCCCTTCTCCTCGATTGGATGCCGATCAGCTCTACAACGCCTTCAAAGGTCGTGTTTTTTCTACGTTTTCTACGTTAAATTCTTTGTTTTATACGTCCTGAATTCCGTATATACTATGTGTTCGTATCATCCACCGTACGAAATGCATGAAAACGTTTGTTATTTCGCTTTAAATGGGTATAATATATATGGAGATTAAAACCGAGGATTTGGCAGGAAGAGGATGCGAAACTTCCGTGATTATCGAGGTTCTTGCCCACCGAAGCTCGACTCAACGTGCCCTTATCGAACAGGAATACGAAACCAAGTTCTCTGATGATCTCCGGAAACGCTTACAGGCCGAGCTGCATGGCCATCTCAAGGTAACAAGACTAGCTAGAACAAAAAAAAAAGCGTTTTTTTTTTCTCATAATGAAAATCTTAAGATCTCACATGCACCAAATGTAGAATCGGTTCATTATAAGACTATAGGCATCTTCCTCCAATAAATTAGTGTTTATGGTAAATTCTATAAAGGGTTTTTAAAAAGATTGATATTAGACGTATTATGAGATGTATGTATTCTATCAAATTGGTATCAAAACGGTCCAATTCATCTGTTTCAAAGGATGATATCGTTAAGATCCACATGACTAAGTTACTACAAAACTATGAGCTCCATCCTCTAATAAACTAGTTTTGGTAGGGCTACCATAGGTTTGAATTCGAATGATTACAGATTTCTCAGATATCCGTATACGAATAAATGATATTTATATCCGTAATATTATAATGTATAATGATTTCATAAAACCCGTGAAGACGAGGCTCAAAGCCGTATCCTTCCAAAAATTGAAGAACCTGACCCATGCCATGCCCGCCCCTTGTTTTTTGGGTGAATTCTGTATTTGGGTTCTACAGATATTTAAAAAAAAAAACTTTTTTTCTTCTTCTTTACAAATAATGTTTTTCAGAAAGCAGTCCTTCTATGGATGCCTGAACCAGTGGCACGAGACGTGTCGATTCTGAAACATGCCCTTAGGGGAGCCGCGACGGACCACAAGGCTATCACCGAAATCATATGTACTCGGTCTGGTTCTCAGTTACGTGAGATCAAACAGATTTACTTCAACACTTTCGGTGTCAGCCTCGAACACGACATTCAATCCGAAGCCTCTGGTAATCACAAAAGGGTTAGTGCTAATTAATAATCCCACAAAAGGGTTTCATAATAATCTCCTCTTGCTTTATTTTATACGTTAATATATACATGTTTTTATATATCGATATATATATATATATATATATGTTGCAGCTTCTGCTTGCGTATTTGAACACTACACGGTACGAAGGGCCGGAGATCGATAACGTGATGGTGGAGAACGATGCGAGAACTCTTAAGAGCGCGGTGGCTAGGAAGCATGGATCTGATGACAAGACTTTGATTCAGATTTTCACCGACAGAAGCAAAACACATTTGTCTGCTCTTCGATCTACTTACCGTTCTATGTATAAAAAGGAATTAGGAAAGGTAATAAAGCTATATCGACTTTAATCGGATTCCTTTGCGTCAAAATCTGGGTTATGCGATTCAGTTACTTGTTATCCAAGAAACTGTTCTATCTATAGAGTTTCCTGCAGTTTTTATGGCGTTTCTCTTTGTAAAGTTTTTAGCTTTGACAGGCTATAAAAGACGAAACACACGGGAATTTCGAGCATGCCCTTTTGACAATCCTGCAATGTTCGGAAAACCCGTCGTTCTACTTCGCAAAGGTGCGGTTTTTCGCCTCTTCTCTGTCTCGGTATATGGTATACATCTCCATTGATACCACAGAGAAACTTCAAGTATAATGCAAAGTGGCAATCCCCATGTTTAGGGTTTTCTTTGATTATGAACATGGTGAGGTGTGCAGGCGTTGAGGAAGTCGATGAAAGGGCTTGGAACGGATGACACAGCGTTGATAAGGATAGTGGTGACGAGAGCAGAGGTGGACATGCAGTACATAAAGGCCGAATACCGAAAGAGGTACAACAAGACACTGTACAACGCTGTCCATTCCGACACGACTGGACATTACAGGACCTTCCTCCTCTCTCTTTTAGGTTCCAAAGATTAAAATCTTTTTCCCTTCTCTCCTCTTCTTTTTAGTATATATGGAGAATTCACATTGATTTGATCCATATGATTTATAGTTTGTCCATTTTCAAGTGACTTCTGTACCATTTGATGTCAATTTTTCTGATGTTGAGTGATTGGAACAATCTTTCGTGATGATCTTTTGTACCATATGGTTAATTTTGATTTTGTGATGTCAACCCATCAAAATCTAAAGAATCATAGCATCACCTGAAGATTACATTTTCATAACATTCATCTAATAACCATATCTCTTTTTACAAGATATAGATATATATAGATATATTCTAAAGAAATCAGATTGAATTCTAATCTGTAAACTTCATCCAAAATCCAAATTTTTTATCCAAAATAAGGAAATTGTGGAAGAAGATATACTACCAAACAAAATGAGGAGATTAGTGAAGCACATGGACAACTTGGCAAGCCATGTTTTTTTTTTTTTTTTTTTTTTT